GCAGATACTAATGGTCAGATGCTGTAATTTGTATTGATATGGCCAATATATGCTACGTACAATATAATCCATATTGCCTAGGAAAAGCTTTTCAAGATTGCACCGAGGAAGTATTGATGAAATAGCAGCACCTGCTCTATGATATACTTCCTCGCTTGATTCAATGGAAAGCGATATTAAGGATTGAGTATTTAAGTTTTTGAAAAAGTTTTCTAAGTCCACATCGCTGATATTACAAAGAGTCAGTGAATGAAGTCCAGTAAATCGATAACTATCGAATATTGACAAAAATAAGTGAATTCGGTCTCTTTGGCGAAAATCGTTGGAGATGGTCACTGAACTGAGACCTTCCGGTGGAATACAAGAAGATATCAATTGAAGAGTATATGGTGATTCCCAATTGAAAATGAGTTCAAATCGATTATAGATTTTACAAAGACCATAGAATCGTTGACAGGCACGACGAATAGAAAATATGACCGTTTGAATATCGCAATGATCGAATATACGATGCACTATTTCTGATGGAAGTTCAAGAAGAGATATGTTTGCCATCAGACAATGACTTTTAGTCGCTGACTTGAGTTACACAATACTCTAGAAATATAAATAAAAACAACCATTTTGGATCACTCAATTATATTCTGTGGTGTGAGAGTTACTCATCAAAAGGATTTTTATCATTTCACAATCATACGATGAGAATTCTCTTGTTAGTTTTGGAAGATATAGGTTGCAAAGACACTCTCATTGATCAAAGATCGAGCGAAAGTGTGCGTAGATGGGCGTAGCTCAACAATAACTATACACTTCCCTCGTTTGCCGCTAGCTGCTAATGATTTCATTTCATACTTCTATACCTAAGTCATGATGTTACGTCTCGCTATTTCATGTCAAACGTTGCGACCGTCGTATTCTATCGTTTTCCATTGTAATCAAGAAATATTCTCTTGAGTCAAGAGGAAGAGCAAGTTTTTCGTATGCCTCCTTTCGTGAACAAAAAACAACAATTTTTTTTAAATTTATTTAATTTCATCAAAAAATAACGAATGGTGAATAAAGTATAATTCTAAGTTTTTTTTGAATCTCTCTTTCAATTGTTGGTAGTTCGGTTTAAACTTTTTCTTAAAATATAGTCGACAAAAATCTCTACAAAATGTCATAAAAAGAGTTCTTAAAAATATAACTGAAACACGCTATATGATCAGCAGTACTATATTGAAAAACAAGCCTCACTTTCAGAGTCATTTTTTTCATCAAACTAATTATTCATCTTCTTCTGACTAAACAGACTTCAGACTATTCTAAATCAAGTTTTCTATGTTTTTTATGGTGTAATGTTTCTAAAAGAGCTTAAAAAGAATCTCTAGATAGGTCTATGTTATCCCGATAGCAAATTTTGTTGAAAAACAGATTGGAGCCACTGATGACTTTCCTCAATTGCATTACTCATTGCAGAAAAGTCTTTGCGACAGTTCACTTGTGTCTTAATTGTAGTAAAATATTTTTCTTCAAATTGGTAATAAATTTGAATCCGTATTAATCGTTTACTTGACTTAATTACGCAAATAAAAATTTTGATGATTCTACATGGAAGATCCTTAAAACTCGAGTCAAGGAAGATAAATGACATATACAGTTTTTTTCTGTATATGATCAAATGATGACACCAAATTGAAAAAAACAAAAATAGAAACTTGAAAATGAACCTATTTAGAGTGTGGTACCGCTGACCAGATATAGTTTTTCATCTATTCTTTTTAAGAACTCTTTTTACGGTGTTTTGCAAAGAAATTTCACTGGCTACGTTTAAAAAAAAAACTTCAAGCCGAGCCATCGACAACTGAGAAGTTATTTGCAAAATACTTACCTTGGAACTTGTTGTAGACATAAATCTAGATGAAAAAAATTTCTTGAAGCTTTTTAAATAACTACTTACAATTGAATATATTGTTGAGATGAATCTAAATAAAAAATATACATATTTTATTTAATTGCTTAGAATAAATACTCACCATTCAATTTATTGATGGAATAAACTCACACAAAAAAATATGATGTTAATTTTTTTACAGTCTTCCTCGGACAAAAAAAACGGCCTTTTTCCATTTCATTTTTGCATCACTTAATACGTTGTTTAAAAAAAAACAAAATATACCAGGAGATGCGGCGTGAAAAGAACTACAATTTACAAAGTAAATCTTATTTTAATTCTGTACTTTTTGTTTTCAAAAAAAGCAAAATTGTGTGCGACCAATTTTCGACGCTGCGAAAGGATCATTTTTCTACACCAATGAAAAATTCCTTTCTTCTTATTTCAATAAACTGTTCTGCGTAAATTGTAGAGCTTTTTACGTTGCATATTGTGGTATATTGTTTTTTTTACAAAAACATATTAGTTGATAAAAAGATGAAATAAGGAAAAAGGAATTTCTCGTTCGCATAGAAAAAAATGATTTTTTCCCAGCGTCCAAAATTGGTCGCACACAATTTTGTTTTTCTAAAACAACTTATTAAGCGATGCAAAAATGAAATGGAAAAAGGCCGTTTTTTTGTCCGAGGGAGAGTATAGCCACGTCGATCTGCCAGGATTCGCTTAAATCGCGCAAAATCGAATCGAAGAATTTTTTGAGTTCGAAGAGTTACATCTACTGTTAACCTTTCGCTTTGCGTCCGGATCGGCTTCCTGTTCAATTCGAGGATATAAGAGAAAAATCAAGAAAAATGACCAATTTTTGGGTGGTATTTCGGATTTTGAAGATTGTTGAACCAATTTTCAAAAAATAGCTTTCTATGTTAGTAGATAGAGCTCGTCGAGTTACATCTACCATAAAAGTTTCCCTTGGCGTCCGGACCGACTTCAGGATCAAATCGTGCTCACATGATCCGATTGAAAATAAATAGGTACTTTTTTACCCCAGAATCAGCCACTATTTTTGGGATTTAGCTTTTCCGCTCAAGTAAATGGTGAGATTCCCGTAGAACTCAACAAGCCGGATTGCATAGGATACGTTTTGCTGGAATAGTCCGCTTCCTTAAAGTCCGAGGGGGCTGGCAATGTGATTTTGTGGCATATAAAGTTCCATACCTCAATAGCACAGGAACGAGTTTTATGATTTACTATCGTGATGTTGTTGATTAAGAGACTTGCCTCTTCAAATTGGTATAGGTTTGAAATGGCTTCATAGGTGGATGGTTCTCATGACATTTACGGAACCGATGTGAAGTATCGATAAATTAAGCCGGTGGTACTATTTAGTAACAACATGGCATATCGAAGATTGACCTTTTGGTATGCAGTTTTGTGTTCAATCTATTTCACATTCGAGAATCGTTGGATTGAACTTTCCCCGCTCCGACGCCAGGATATTCTTTTCTTCCTATTTGTCTGTGTGTCAGTCATGGTCTATGGAGGAAAGAATACAATTTCGCACTACATAGGTTCAACACTTATTTCCAATCCTGTTTCACAAAATTAATGTATTTGTCATTGTTATATTGATATTATCCAATCTAATGATTGAATTTGTGCTGACATGTTCATCTCACCCATTTTTAGGCATAACGAATACGTTAGCCAAATTGTTTTTCCAAATTCGAAGAATGAAAGAATAGCGGAAAGCATAGTAAACTGCGAAAACATCACCCCGTATCTTGGTTCATTAATGTGTTGTTTTTCGGATTCCATGTGCCTATTCTCGGACGTCCAGTGAAGATTCATAAAAGTGCTACCTCTTTTTACTTTTGCCCCTGAAGAACGAGAATCCGTTCGACAGTGTTCGTCCAATACGTCTTTCATACCTAGTAGTAATGGATTGCTCGCTTTAACTATTTTGTGAAACACGATTTGGAAATGAGTGTTGAAGTATAGAGCGAGAAAAGTGAATCACCCCCTTCTTGCCCCACGAACATCACGGACAGACACAAAATGATTCGTACACAGCATTATGAACGGGCGCAAAATAGTTATGAACCATTAGGAACAGACGGAAATAATTTTTGTTCAGTATCACAGACGTCGTGGAGAGACAAAAAACCCTTAGAGAGCTTGATGAGCAGACATAAGTGTGTTCCTTCGAAGAGCACCGATGTCATAGACAGACTGAAAAGGAGTGTATAGCATAATTGAGCCCTGCACAATAAGAAATGAATACGAAGATGAAGACAGAAATAAACGAGACACAACTGACAAATACGAAATTAATGTAGAAATGACCGAATGCAGCATAGCAACAATTGAATCCGAGCAAAAGACCCATAGGGATCTTATACTTTAACTTGTAACTTATTAAGTTACAAGTTACCAGTAACTAGTAACTGAATGAGTAAGAACTTAGTTATCAAATAGCTAAAATTTAACAGCCCTATACTGCACAAAAACATTGTTTCCAACTAGAGAGCTCGAAGCCAATGTGAAAGAGTAGACCATGCATATCGAAAGAGACGCCCTTTGAAGAGAGTACTGTTCAAATCGGCAGCAGCTGACCTAGTCAGTTTTTATCGTTGGCAAAAATCTACCCAAGTATCTCGAATTTGAACTTTTATTTTCACACACAGTCTTCCATCTTATTATGCTGGTTGATTCATAATATATCAATATCGGTTGTTATGACGACTCGAATCAAACATGATCAAAAAATCGTGTATGTGTGTATGATACATTTTATCAGTCATATTGTCAAACTCTGTCCGTCGATCCATGTAAGCCACGGCCAATCCTGCTCAATCGAGGTCCTCAGACCTTATTCAATTGAAGACATATTGCAATCATGGTTAGAAGTAAAAGAATCTTGTTTAAATTAACTTGAGCATCTGGTACCTTATTCTCATTCTTACCATCATAAAACATCGTATTCACAATCACATCTTATTTTTTGTTATCTATAATTCATTGATATGTCTCATGTGAACACTAAACTCAAAATCTAGCTGAATGCTTTATTTTTCAACGAAGCCTTGATTGAAACAAGCACAGCTATTTAGATTATTCTCATTAGAAATTATCGAAATTTATGTAGCATATTTTGTTGCATCATTCGTTCGTAATCTTGTTCTCGCAATCCTAGCAAAATATAAACCGATGAATCTCTTATACATGCATCCATCATTGGAAAATATCGCGGATTTAAGCAATCCGCTGGTCCACTATAGACTGGAAATCCACTGTTACCAAAATTAGCATCTAACATATTCATTTTTCGCCATGAGGTACAATGAAAATCACGATTAATGAAATCTGCATCGACTCGATTTGTAAGTATGCTACCATCATCACTCATTAAATAAGCATTGTAGTCTCTCAGTGAATTCGCTGATTGTTTTGAATGCATTTCATGAATCTGTTGTGCTAATGATGAGAGTGTTGGTTGTCGATCAGATGGTATCAAAGCATAGAGCCAAAATGGTAATGAACCAAAATAGTTGAGAACAGTTGGTGAACAACAAGAAACGAAACTTGGCCGACCATTGAATGCTTGAAGAATTTTGACAGTATCAGTTAATGACGTTTGAGTAGCGGCAGCAATTACTAAAATCATATGAGCATAAAGTGCATCATACGTGCTGATGAAATCAATGGATTCTGTTAGGTTTTTTGAGGCTTCATTTTTAATCATTTTTAATTCGTCAGCAGAGAAGAAATAAACTTTGCTTATCACACGTTGTTGTTGTGGTACTTGACTGAATGGTGAGCCAGACGGTAATGCCACAGTTCGATTAAAAACACAGTCCTTTGGTCGAGACAGAGTACTAATTTGCTGTCGTTGTTCTTCGGTTGGATATAACACGAAGGTTTTGTCAAACACTGGCATTTTTTTCGGTGGTTTACCAGAAGCCCATGCATTGATAAAATCCGACGTACTTTGTGCATCCATTAAACAATGAAGAGCTGATATACTTAAAATAACACTATGACACTTTAGACGTGTCACTTGTATTGACACACAAGCTCCTGTCAAATCGGTTTTTACTCTTACAGATAAATCACTTATGTTAATATGTTCATACTCGAATTCTTCGTCGGGAAGCGTTCGTGGTACGAAATAATCCAACGTATGAGTCATACATTCTGCTTCAGTATAGAGGATACCCTCATTTGTTAAATGTATCGTGACATTGCCTTTTGCATCTTCTGTAGCACGACCAGCTAGTATAGGAAAATAATTGAGTGTATCCGACAGAGTCGTTTGTAAATGTTCGGCTGGCATGAAATCTTCTTTTGATGTATTTGCTGTATTCGAATAGATCCAAATCATTCTAATTGGTGTTTGTTTTGTACTTGATTCAAGTGCTATGCAAGTTATGTGTTCAATATCTTTTGATGAATTTGAACATTTAATAGTAATCGGTTTTTGTTTGACGATTGTAGCCATTGTGTATATGGTTGAAATACGATTAATGTCTATTTTCACTTCTTTTTCACTTCTATATTTCAATTCTATTGTGTAATTGTGAAAGACAATCAAAAGGATTTATATTCTACTACTACAAAAGCATAGCACGAATGAAAAGAATAACAATGGTGACTGTATGTCATCAGGGGGCGAAGAATGTCTTCAGGGGGCGAAGAATGTCGTCGACTAGATGATATTTGCTTTTTTTTCGATTTTGCCCACAAGGGTATACAAGGTTTTCAAATGTGTTTTATGAAGCTTCTTTATTGAATTTTCCTAACAAAGCAATAGAAAAATGGCTTTTATTACAAAAAAAATTTAAAAAAAATGATTTTTTTCACAGAAATTTCTAGGAAAATTGGTTTAGAGTTTTCACTAGAATATCTATAACCCTTGAACGATAAAAGCTAATAACCTGAGCATTGTGCAGTTACTAGATCATTGATTGGCGCTTTTAACACACCTGCCCATTGAAAATTCACTGTAGTCACCTATCAGTGTACGTTGGTTTTCAAAAAGATCGATTGGAAACCTTAGAAAAACCAAGTCACAATGTTTTGTAATAGACGATTCTATGCTTCTCCATCTCCTCTTTCCAACGGTGAAAATCGCAGTTCTCTATCTTGTTTCTATCAAAAGTTATTCAAAAAGATCTTATTTTTCTGAAATATGTTTTTCGACTGAGATTTTGCATTCATTTAGAACATGATATGATACGTGTGTAGGCGTTGATAAACGGTTTGGGACATTTATACATCTATTCTCAGAGTATGTGACACGCTATCATTACTCATTAGTTTCATGTCTTTTATCATAAAAGCTTCTGACTTTTCGTTACCCCTTCTATCAGATATTAAATCAGGAGCGAGGAGATGAGAGAAACAGCACGAAGTGGGAGGTGACGACTGATAATAACACTGTTTGCCTGCTCTTAATCTTTTCCACGTGTGTTCTCTTTAGAGTAGTGACGTTTGCATTGGCAATATTTGTGCTTTTGCAGGTAAAACTTATTATAGTACTCTAAAGCAGTTCTGGCTTTTGCGCGAACATTCGTGTTTCGCAAAAGTAGGTAAGAGAGATAGCTAAACGAAATTGAACGACTGAAAGACAGAGAACGCAAAAATGAATTTTCTTTCTTTTGCATCACCGCCAACAATCTTTTGCACTTGAAAACAGATGGCTTTTGTTGAATCGTCTCAAAACTGAAAAAGGGCTTCAAAGATGTTGTTCGCTCTTTCAGGATATCTAGAAGCAACGTCGACCCAAGGGAGAAAAGCGGATCCTCGGATCCGCTTTTTCCCCCTTGGGTACCTCAAATCCTACTATATGGGGGCACATCAGGCACCTCAAGTTGTACTGTAGTGAGTATAGTTTGAATGGCTACCGGCGATCAGAGCTCATCCGCTAGGACCCGAAACCGGACCCGATCGGCTCCGGGTAGGGTCCAAAAAAGTAATTTCATAGAAATAATAAAATGTTTTGGATATTTTTGGTTCTCATTCATTTTTCATTGAAAATGTTCGAAATGCAGTTTGATTCCGGTGTTGAAAAAAGTTTCATCAGTATAAAGTGGAAACGAGTCCGAAAATCTTTCATCAGCTGTGTCCCTGCCAGGCTTCGAAAAAATTTAATCAATCAGGTCCGAGTATCAAAAACATCGAGTAAACTGGGTCCGGGTCTGGTTCGGCTTTGAAAATTTTGGACCTGACGGGTTCTACTGGTAACCCGGTCCCGCTGCCAGTCTGAGTTTTTCATCGACGAGTTTTTGTAGTCAACCGGTCCTTACCGGTATTTTGTTGTAGGTCCGGTCTAAATTGATCAAGATCGCTCCCAATATGCTCAGAAACATTTTCTCAAGAGCGTATCTCAAAAATTTTATTTCTGAAACTATTCCGGTAACCATTGATAAATCATACTTCTAAATGATAGCATACCAAGTTAGCCAATCACGCTTTACTCGAGAACAAAGTTCCTTCTTGAGCTGTCGTGTGTTGCTGGAATATTGACATTAATTGATTCACTGATGTATCTCGTTTATCCCATCTATTACGCTGGATTATCGATTTTAACCCGTCCGAATCGGTCTGACTTGTTCAAAACCAGTGACCCTGGATTAGGCCGGTTTGGACAAGTTAAACCATTCGCACCTGTGAAGCGGGTATACAGGCCACTCCGGGTTGAAATTTCAGAACGATCGCTCTACCGACCTGTAAAAAAGCAGACTGCTTCAATCTATGATGGGCAAGTAGCTTATGTTCCTCAACTCAGACTACATGGTGGTACTTTAGCCTAAGGTACCCCGGCCCCCAATACTAGGATTTGAGGTACTCGAGGTATTCCCCTATAGTAGCACTTGAGGTACCAAATATACCCCGTTATACTGGAACTTGAGATACCAACGGTACCCCCTATAGTAGAACCTGAGGCATCTCAAGTACCCCCTGTATGAGGGCTTCAAAATTTATAGGATTCATATCAGGATATGCTCCTATCCGTTCTATGAACTGAGCTGAACGGTTGAGCAGTTCAGTTCAGCTCAGTTCGTCATATCTATTGCAGCAGGTTAGTTCAGTTCAAGAGAACTGTTCGAATAGCTGAGTTCAGCTCGGGTGACGGGTGCAAACAGTTCGTCTATTCGGAACTAGATGCAAACTGCCCTACTTTTACTAGTAGTAACCAGCAAGATCTACTAGGATCCATCAGAATCCGCCAGGAGCCGATAGGAGCCGCTGGGAGCCACCAGGAGCCGGTAGGAGCCAGAAGCCGCTTTTCCCCCATTGCGTCGACCTGTGTCGACGAGAAACGAGACTGTTTTCTGCTTAGAATTCTGTCACTTTTCTTTTCAGCTCTTCTCCGAACTTCTCGATATCTAGTGCAGATAGTGAATTCTGTAAGTTCTTTTTAAAAAATCGATAATTCGTAAAATTTTCGGATTATATGTAACTTGACACGCTCTATAACATATTTTAAAAAATCAGGGGGTGGGAACCCTCCCCCTAGACAACTGGTCCTATTCTAATTTAAAGCATTCCTATCATATACGATAAACGCTACCGTCAAATGGCGGTCGAGAGAGCTTACGTTTCTAAGAGAAATGTTTTAGAGAAAGAACCCATGTAGCCAATTTTGCAGAATAACGAACGCTAGAATGCATTATTTTACCATAGAAAAAGAATTGTCATAACGTCATGATAATGCAACTCATATCATGCATTAAATTTGATTAAAAAATTAAGTCATTCTAATGCATTGAGAATATCTCGCATAATAATGCAAGTTTTGAGTTGCGTTATCATGCTGTTAGAAGAAATACGTTCACAATGTATTTCAATGCAGTGACACTTCAATTAATCCTCCGTGAAAAACTTTGCAATTATAATCCGATTAATTTGAAACAAAGTCCGAATACAATCGATTGGAATCCGATTTCCACCGATTATATCTAGCTATCTACATAATTAATTATCTAATTGTCTATCTAACAATCTAGCTGCCTATCAAACGAACTATCAAGTTGTCCCGAAAGCCCTCGTCATTCCCCACATTTTGTAAGAGGAGAAATAAGGTATGGGCAAAAAGTTCGCGACATTTTCTTATCGATATTAATAGAAAAATTTCTAAGAACTTTTTTCATATAATATACCAAAAGATGCAGCGTGAAAAGCTCTACAATTTGCATAAGACCGCTTTTTTTACAGTTGCACTTTTTGTTTTCAACATGGTCAAAACTTCGAGCGACCAAATTTCGACGCTGCGAAAAGATAACACGAACGAGCAATTATCTTTTTTCTTATTTCATCTTTTCATCACCTGTATATATTGTGGAGCTTTCCACGCTGCATCTTGTGGTATATTTTGTTTTTTTTACGAAAACATATTAGAAGATAAGCTGATGAAATAAGAAAAAAGAAATGTCTTTTCATGTTATCTTTTCGTAGCGTCGAAAATTGATCGCACAGAATTTTTTTTTTTTTTGTATACAAAAAGTAAACAATTAAAATGAGCTTTTCTTCGTGGATTGTAGAGCTTTTTACGCTGCATCTTGTGCCGAGAAAAATATCGTTTTCACAACGTCGAAATTTGGTCGCTTGAAGTTTTGATGATTTTGAAAACAAAAAGTGCAACTGTAAAAAAAGCGGTCTTATGCAAATTGTAGAGCTTTTCACGCTGCATCTTTTGGTATATTATATGAAAAAAAGTTCTTAGAAATTTGTCTATTAATATCGATAAGAAAATGTCGCGAACTTTTTGCCCATACCTTATATGGTTTCCACCACTGTGTAGAGCGTTCATTTTTAGGATGGTACACCGGTTTTGGCCTGATTCATTCGTTGCCTCCTTCGGACAAGAAAGGAGTTTTCTCGACCAGGTCAGTCTTTTTTCAGATATGAATTTTGGCGACGGTGACTTAGTGCCTTTGTATCTCGTTACCCAGAAGGGGCCGGGCAATGAGAACTTTAGGGTAGATACTATTTCATATGGGCTACAATCTGTGATAGTCAGAATCGAAAAATGTTCGTTCAAAATCCTTGGGATTTTCAAAAGGTCTCTGGAAAACCTTTCACACATGATCAGGCCAAAACCGGTGTACCATCCTAAAAATGAANAACATAAGTTCTACGAAAATAATTCGCGAATTATTATTATCTACCAATTAATCTGTTTGATCTCTCATCTCACATCATATATATAAACATAGTTTTTCTTTTTATTTTGTCATTCCTGATGATGATAGGTGTAACCTATCGAAAGCTTGAATAAATAAATGTGATTTTTGATAAAAATCAAATAATGTTTTTCGTAGCAGTTTTATACTCACTTTTCTCTTGAATTATGATATTAAGCTTAGTTAATTTGCAGCGGCACCTTATGTTATGCAATATTTCACGAAAAACAATATAGTTCATGTCAACAATTCTACGCGTCTCTGTGGAACTACTTTTAAGTTCTACAAAGTAGGATTGATCATCGAAAAATGAATCTTCATTTTTAAACTTTATAACTGACAGTGCTTATGAGATAGCGTAGACTCGCTAAATGAATGCCTATAGGCATTGAGTGTTGAATGATGAATAATGGTTAGCCTAGATCAAACTATCGATCTGTTCTACCTTTAAGAAAATGTTACAAAAGTTTTATCAGCTGATACCAACTTCATTCTCGTACAGCATCTACATCGTATGAAATCTCTAGATATCCAAAAAGTAGTTTTGCTCAAGCTGCAAGTAATAAAGTCACATTACATGTGGTACCCGTCACGTTGATAAAGTCTTTTGACTCTGTTGATAACATCTTTTATTCAGATTGTTTGTACAGGTCCAGGTGTTTTCAAGTTTTAAATACATAGGCTTTCATTTTCAAACAGTTCGTTCGCCAACTACATTGTATAAGGTTTTGGATATTGCCACAGGTGATTTTCCCGTTTTCATCTTGAGCAAAACCATCTTTCGAATATCCAGAGATTTTGTAATATATAGATGTAGTAAGAAAATGAAGTTGGTATCGCCAGATAGAGCGGTTGTAAAATATTATCGAAGGCAAAATAGAGCGATAATTTAATGTGGCTCATCTGTTAGATGAATGCAAGCTAAAGACAGATCTACATTCACATTTGAGCTCATTTCATTTTTCGAAAGCTTTCTTAAAAACCAAGATCCTTTGATCTTTGAATAAATATGAAAATTCAATCGAGTGATCCATCATTGACAACGTATGGTACCAAAAGATTAACTGTATTCGTGCACAATCGATTCCTATTCGACTTCTTTGTACAAATTCAATGAGCTGAGAGAAGGTGCAATGATGAAAATCGAAACTAGCTTTCTTTGATGAATGAAAATTTTACGTCAGCAGAAGCGAAAACTCTAGAAGCATGATAATTCTTTTAACATCCCAGTCAACTGTTTCAATTTCGTTCGCATTTGAAAAGTAAACAAAACTATTTTAAAGAACATACTCGCTTCTTTGGATCAACTAAAACATGTCTTGAAAATGTGTCTGTCATTGATATAAACCCAAGGGGGAAAAAGCAGATTTTAAGATTTTAAGATTTTAAAAGATTTTAAAAGATTTTAAGAGATTTTAAAAGATTTTGAAAGATTTTGAAAGATTTTGAAAGATTTTAAAAGATTTTAAAAGATTTTGAAAGATTTTGAAAGATTCTGAGGTTTCAAAAAAGTTGAACCTACTCTATAAATTAGAGAAAATCTGCGTGTTCTCATAAAGGAGATGTGTCTTACTACGGTATATGCATCTGAAAAGTTCGAACTCAATTTTATTCTTCTGAGAATCAGCATTCAGCTTTGTATCCCCTCAGGGATCGAAAAAACTTTGTCTTCNGGGTGTGGGTGTGGGTGTGGGTGTGGGTGTGGGTGTGGGGGTGGGTGTGGGTGTGGGTGTGGGTGTGGGTGTGGGTGTGGGTGTGGGTGTGGGAGTGGGTGTGGGTGTGGCAGGGTCCAGAACTACACCCACACCCACACCCACACCCACACCCACACCCACACTCACACCCACACCCACACCCACACCCACACCCATAGTTGTGTCCAGAAACCAACGAAATGTTTATAAAGATCCAGTTTTATAGCCAAAAAGTAATCATTACATTCCTGTGCATCTCGTACAGATATTGGTACAGCTATAACATTTTGCTTTGTTGTCATAAAACTGAACTTCGCTATATTAATAATTAACCAAGTCATCTGGAAAAGCTTTTCGTCCAAAAGAGTTCTAAAAAACGATCAGCGATAAATTTTGAAAAGGTGCAATATGAATAACTTATCTTACGTGGCACAATTAATACTTGTTGTATTTGTAAGTTGTTTATCTTCTCTTTCTCTAATTATTGCTATTTTTGAATTATAAGCACTTGTGTATCCGTCAAATGACATAGTATTTTTGACCAGATGGTGGTCAAAATCAAGTAATAAGCTTTGATCAAAAATTTGATTTCCATTTAGGTAAATAAATCGATCATTTTTTATTGATTCATTTGTGATGAATTTCATTTTACTTTTTATGTAAAAATTAGGAAAAATCTTCACATCACAAGCATCACAAAAACAAGTGCTAATAACTATAAATAAAATAGAAATTCAACTATTCTCGACTAGCACGGAATCATAACATACGTGCTTTATAATTACGTGTTAACGACAAAACCGTCTTTGAACTATGAGAAAAAACTAGTTTTAGTTGTTTCTTACATGCTATACATTCATTCGTATATGGTTTCAGATATAATTCACATGCAACATTGGATTCAGCAACTCTATCGTTCTGATATTTTTGAATCATCTCACGAACTGATTGTTCTTGAAACATATGGTTATATGTTGGATTAATAGAGATGAATTCAATCATTGATCTTATCACGTGAATTTCATACGACTTCTGATAATGTAAGTTAATTATATTCATAATATAATCATATCTATTTTGCAGTTCTTTTGGAAAAATATTGTTCAACATCATCATATAAAATATTTCATTTAAACCCATTGAACGTGCCATTAATATTAAAGTATGCTCCGTATCACTAAGTTCCACTGACGTTAATGATGACGAAGAATTGTTATAATGATTCATTTGGTTCAATATCTGAAAAGACGAATAAAATATGTTTTAAAAAAATCTTATTTTCAAATATTGATTTCTAATACAACTTCCTTCTTTCGTTTTGATGATAAAAAACGGTAAAAAAATGAATGTAAAAAAGAGTAAGTAAAAAACGTTTAAACTTGAACTATATAAAGAAGGTAGAATTCAATAAGAAAATTGTGTTATACCTGTCAAATTAAACTAGAATCGATGTAAAACAAATTAGTTTCTTCTTAATTTTCTAGTCTGTGTTCGTGTTTGCCGATGTTCACCATAATTTTCATCAGTTTCGGCTTTTCTTATTCTATCAACAGGTTGTGATTGAGTATTTACTACTACTTCTTCCTCATCATGTGGCATGTGTTTTTAAATATTTTGTGTATTGTTATTTGTTGTCTTGTTTTCATAATTTTGCAGATGCAGAGTTTGTGGAATCGATGTTGATGCTTCATTTTCGACGTTTATCTCATGAATTGCCATATCAAATGGTCGAAATTGTTTTTCATTCCAGCGTACGTGTTCTTTATAGAAGAAATTTTATTCCATCTTTTCAATAAACTCGTCTGATAAAGTCCAATTATTATTTGTGAAAACATTTTCTTGCTGTTGAGGATAAAAGCATTTTAGATAATCTTCGTATGTAACATTAACCTGCAAAATTAAGGTGAATATTATTATCAAATACAGGCAGTCTGAAAATGGAAAATATGCTTATTAACCTCTTTTTGTAATAATTGGATGAATTCAAGTTTAGCTGCATCTGTATTGAACAATGGAACACTTCTATTTAAAAAAATGTCTACGGTAAATAATCAAGATTTTTACAAAATATTTTACTTGATCCATCCTTCTCTCAGTATACGTTTAGCATTTTTCTTTGGCACTTTTATTGAACGATTTGGCTCTATCCAGTAATTATTTCCATGCGTGAGTAGCTTTAAATTAATTAAGCGTTCTATTGCATCTTGTCTGATGCTTGATTTGTTACAAATTTGAGTAAAGTCAGTTTTTGTAAATATGACAGACTTCCAAGTCATTATATGTTTCATAGCTTTCTTCACCGCAAGCTCACGTCTGTCTTCACAAGTATTTGTTGCTAAACACAATAAAAAAAGAGACGATCTTTCATATAAAAACAAAGGTAAAAGACAAACTTTCTCTAAGTGTTGGTTGTACAAGTGTAGTTGAACTATTATGTTCAACATCATCAATTTGTTCACACGACATTGCTGATAAATTATGGATACTTTCGAAAGAATTATTATGTTCAGGTAGAAATATTTCTAATGTAAACAATAAAACAACGTAATAAAATTGGTATATAAAATATTAGTGCTTACGAGTTATGTTTATATCTTGTTGATTACTCAATACTTCAATCAAACAATGATGCTGTGTCACGGAACTCTCTTCAACGATATCCGGAAATTTGTTAATTTCAACTGGTGTTGTAGTTTGACTTGGTACTTTGGATGCTGGTACATGAAAGAATGTTGTTGTTGGTTCATTTCGATTATTTGTTTGTTGTATACATGTACCTACATCCCAATTTTCAATATCATGAAATTCAACAGTAAATGCATCCTGATTTAAGATAATAAAACTTCCAGTATCGGTTTCACGAATAACTGAATTAGCAACATGTTTTTGTATTATATTCTTCAATACATCTCGATACTTCACATATTGATTAACTAAACAAGAACTACTTGCAAAGATATTTAATGCAAATTTGGAAAGATTATTATTCAATGGAATGGAAGATTTTTCATATATTGCACAATATTCATCAATATTTATGTCGTGTTTTAGCAACTTAGCAACAAAGTCTTCTAGTGTTGGATCATTCATCAATGGTGGTGGTATTTTCATGTAAGCTTTTACGTTGTATCCGCGAGCATTGATGAAAAAGTAATTATATTTCAATAAATTATCTTATATTAGCTCGTTAATTGCACGTTCTCCTAAAGCTGGACGATTTTTTATTATGCCACTAAACAAAGAAACTTTATGGACATTAATTAATCACTTCGAATCAAGAATTTTTTTGACATACGTTTCTCCGGTGACAGGATGCTTTACACTTATTGCTGATGTCGGAAAAATGTTAAAGTCCAAGTACATGATCGATTGTTTGAGTGATTTTTGTCGAGCTAAAATGGAAGATGGTAATAGCATCGACTTAGTAGGAAAAGTGTAATCAATCGTAAATAATTTGGTAAAAATTCGGAGATAATATTCATACAATTCCCATCCAATTAATACTGCATCTTTGCTTACAATAATCATTGGATCTGTTACTTCTTTATCACTTTCCATGCTTGTCAGGTAAGTTTTATCATACTTATAGTAATCCTTTTTAATAATAGCTTCTACATTTCTTATCAAATTTTCATTAATGACGGAATTCGGATTGTCACCTTCACTAAAAACGACAAAATCTTTCACCTGTTCAAGTATTTTCATACAATTTAAAAATAATTGAACCAAACACACTAAACGAGGAACCATTGTTCTCGCTTTGGTATAAAAGTCCATGATTTGCTGTTGTTGATTTCTTTCATATTCTGAGTGTCAACTAAATCAGCAATGAGATTCCAGAGAGTAAACATGGCAGAACTAGGTGGTTGTGTTTGATCTTCATTATTTTGTGATGGTGGTAATTGATCAGATGTTACTATGATAATGAAATTAAAACTGAACAGTCTTATCAATTTAATGTCTTTCTTACCACCCGAAAGCTTTATTCGTTCCACTTCCGACATCTCAAACACATATCTAACCGATCCAAAAAGGTGTGAGATTACACATAAATGAGTAAAAGATGGACTTTTTCTCATATTGTTATTGATTTGAAAAATAAAAATAAAAAACCATATATCAATTATGTTTGACCATACCGTTGTGTCTTTACTGTTGTCGTCTTGAACAGAACAGCTTAGGTATGCACATATATAAAAACCTATTATGAGATCCATCAAAACCGGTGAAATTTAACCAATTCTTCATATTCTTCATTAATTTTCCACCTGTTGTGGCAATAAGGACAGTTAATCGTTTATCTTCAATTTGAATCATTGTTGTTCCAGTTGTTCTGGATGAGTTATTAAACCTAACAATAAAAATTATGCAATCAATATATATGATGTCATTATTCATATTACCCGTCATATCCAACCAAAAGCAAGTTACTTTCATGTTCCTTAGTTGGGTCATTAACATTGTAGAGCCCGTATTGCTCGGCGACAATATCAGCGTCATCATTCAATAATATCTTATTATTAGACGACAAATGATGACGTAGCCCAATATGATTGGTGTGTGTTACAATTGTTGACATATTTGTTTCTGTTTCTTTACCATTTACAACAACCGGTTTTAAATATGTAAGTGAAAAAAGCTTTTCTGTTTTGCTGATTGCTTTATTCACTTGCTTAAAAACATTGGTTTTGCAACTTCCTTCAAAATCAAAGAGCAAGAAAAAAAGCAAAAAAAGAACATATAATAGAAGAAAAATTTTGTGTAAAATAATCAATTTCAAAACCTCATAGTCATAAATGTAAGTGAACCTGATGTGAGATACTTTAGTTATTACGGAATTTAATTTGAAGAGAAAACAACTGAGCACTAACATATTGACTATTGTATTTTTAAGGAGAAGCAAATCATCCCTGAATCAATATTTTTATATCTTAAACATGAAAATAAAAATGTTTAAAAAATGTTTCGAAATAAAAACGAGTAATTCACATGAATCAGTACTCAAAATAATAACGCCATATCTGCATCGTTATTCAATTGTATTTTATTTTTCTCTCTTGAGTCACGATCTATTTCTATATTCTGCACTACGAAGTATGTAAGATACTTATATAAACTTCTACGCTTCTCTTTTCGAATAAAAGAATAAGTGTTTAAAGAAATCTCCAATAAATTAAATTTGATATTTCCTAGTAATTTTTCCGTCGCATATTATTTAAACATACTGCTGGGTCCCAACAGCCACAGATATAATTGGACAGGACATGGATCAGGAGAACTGTAATGAGTATAATAAGAACCCTTTGCGAAGTGAGACATCATACCTAATGATAGACAGAAAGACAAAGATGTTTCATAGTTATACATATTTTTGTAAGTTTTTAATAATTCCATTTGTGGTGGTTTCAAAATATCGCACATTTCGATGTTCATATCAGCTGCTAATGATATGTTTATTAAAATCATTTCAGAAATTGATTTGTCATCGATAATGGAAGAACGTTTTGACATATTGAATAAAGAAAATAGCATGAGTACGTGTATATATAATCTTAACATAAAAAAGAAATATTTTTCATTGATAAACAATGTGAACACCGTTATCGTAAGCAAAAAAACATTAGAAAAGAATTTTTGTCCTCTCTGAATACATTACAACTAGTTGTATTCTATTTACTTAGCTCTTCCAATACTTGATCGACACCTACTTGACTTTGTTGTTAAGCGTTAATTTTTTCACTGTTCATATTAGAATTAATACAAAATCCTTTTAAATAGAAATAAACACAAAGAACATATATCATATAGTGAATACTTTTAGAGATCATCATCTATCTTATTATATAAATAAAGAAAATACAACAAGTGATATCTATTCCAAAACACAGAGATATATTATGATATACCCTTGATCAGCTGATTTCCATGTTGTTCTCGTTTTTTTTTCTGTCCTGTCTTCTATATGTCCTCGATCAGATGATATCAGATGATATATATCTACGATTCTCGTTTTCTTTCTTTCTTTCTTCCTTTCTTTCCATTTATATGCACTTAATCAGCTGATATATATCTTCTATGATGTTTTCTTTTTCTTCTCTTTTCACTAAAGCCCTGTTCAGACGTTTCTAATTGTTTTCTTCTTCACATCTTTTATAACCAAGAAAAGAAAATGTATCACCGATATGCTGAAATACGATTCGAAGAACATTAAAACTTTTAAATTTTTGAACACCTAGATTTACATTACCAAATGTCGATTCAATTCGTTGTTCTATTTTTTTTCATTTGATATGTGAATACCAACCACAAATTAACATGAAAATGATCCAACGTGATCGTTCAGTCACCCATACTATTTTTGAATCGATTCGATTTAATCACATTCATATTTAAATAAAAGATAAAACATCAAATGTTTGTATGCACATCTTCGGAGGTATACGATTAGACTATTTTCGTTGTAATCTGTTTTTAATAAATTGTACTTTAAATACATGCGATGAATGTCTGATGAATCGATCACATAAATCACAAAATGAAGTCTTTCAATAATATATATCTGCATGCAATTAAATTTCATTTGAAATTTCGTTCGATCCTCTATAATTTGTATCGGTAATTCATTATTGAAAACTAAAATATCTACAACTATCGCAGCGACTCATCAACATAAGTAACATCAGTATTCATCAAAGCTTTTTCGTTGCGCTGAAATCAGTACATCTTGAGATCAGTATTATTACTAACAGTCACTAAATGCTAAACTTTAATAATCTCATAAGTTCTCAGCTACATAGATTGCAGGTAAATGCATTACGTGTCGAAACAAGTTTTATACAATATATCAAATAAAACTCAAATACAATCAGCCATACAACCATCGTTTATAGTACTTTGCTCAATTTTCATACATATAGATAGATAAATAAGTTGGTTTAGATTGTTATGTATTGAAACTGAAAACTTTAATATAAAAGTTAATATCCGATCTGTGATGCATGGTAATAGTTTTCGGCTTATCAAAAACTGAATTACTTATTTTTAAAATTATATCAGACATTAAGTGATTCAGCCGAAACTGGTAACAGTTTCAGAATTGCTACGCCCTCGGTATATCTATATAACGGACATCCTTTTTGGAAAAAAGATTAAGAAATATAAAACACTGAGTTTTTCTCATACGAATATATTTTAAACATACATATTAAAATATTTAATTTATATTTTCCTATAATTTTTAAGAGTATAAATTAAATATTTAATTTATTTTTTATTCTTTTTTTAGATTGCATTTTAAAGTGTTTAATTTATTTTTTTATAACTGTTTTTACAATATATATCAAAATATTTAATTTTTTTAAATATTTTTTTATGATATTTACTAAAACATTTAATTTATTTCTTTATAATTACTTTTAGGATATATATATATGTATATGAGTGAATTGCAACCTTATTGTACCGTTCGTAGTTCTATATGTAAAACTTTAATAATTTCAGTTCCTCTTAGTCAATCTCTATGAAAATTTCGGAGTATGCTGCCATAGTTGATGCTCACTACCACACAAAAAATCACGAATTTATCATTAGCCTATCCCGAGATACTGCATACACAAGGTTAAAATGGCTGATTTCTACTGCTACCTATGGACAGAAAATGACCCATCACTAATTGGTTTCTTGTCATTTGAATTTTGACAGGTGTTGACATTTACAGGGGACAGTGTATACATCATGGATATGAGACTGGCTAGTTCTTTCATCGCAGTTTATGTTATATTTTTTTCCGAATTTCAGATGTACCGTCAATGGTCAATATGGTGTCACACGAGATTTAAAAACGCCTCTGCTATATAACAAAGCATTCAAAATTTGTCGGATTGGTTTTGAATGAAAGCTTATCAGTGGGGAATAAAACTACCAAAGACGATTCGAAATTTTTACTTATTCTTGTTAAGAAAGGGACATTAAATAAAATTTGAAAATATAGTTGTCACACTAAATGTCACAGGAAATTTCATACTTTGTGTGTCGTATTAACTTTTGTAAATTAAGACATATTGAACTGAAATTTTTATCATTTTATCTGCTATTTGTGGTTAGATATTGCTGAAAATATTACGGTTAGAAAATGTTCCTTTCGCATAATAGAGAGGAAAATAGTGTAAAAATGTCACGCGAGATTTTTGAAAAACTGTCAGATTAGATTTTTATGCAGATAATTATCTCGTGACTATGATTAAAGTGAATGAATGCCATATTCCTAGCTTTCATATTTAAGAGGCTATCACGACTCATACGAACTAACTTTATTTTATTTCTTACAGGTTAATAAAATTGCGGTAAAAAAACATAATTTGTACAGCATAATTTATTCATTTACTCTTTAATTATTTTTTATTAAACTATGTTATTTATGTTTTGATATTTCTATTAATAAACTAGTGAACTTAGTGAAAGAAATCGTTTGGATATTTCAAATCAAAAATTTTCCCAGTTAAATCAGACCACATAATATTTAGACGGTACCAAACACACTATTACATTCGTACTCGAGAGCTAGCTTATTTTTTGTAACACAACTATATATACCACTGCAAATGCAGTTCTTTCTGCGTATCACCTGAAGTTCTTTAAATATATTTGAGTAAATTCGTAGTTTCACGAGCTTCTAATTTATATGAAAAAACTCACGTTTGTGGACATTTTATATATTTTGAAAAACTGCTGTAGCTCAGCCAATTTAAGAGGGGTAGTGTGGAAATTTTATACATATTCTCCTCTCGTCGAGCACACTAAAATGCACGACTCATAACCCCTAAAATCGAAAAATTTTTTTTCGTCCATTTTTTTCTCGAACGGTACAATAAAGTTGCAATTCGCTCATATATATAAGTATTGAATTTTTTTTCTAATTTTTAGAACATGTATTAAAATATTGAATTAGTTTTTTTTCTAATTTTTTTCGAATATATATGTAAAAATATTTAGTGTATTTTTTTCAAGATATTTAAAAACTTTTTTTATTAATCTAATTGTTCTAGATTTCTTTTTCATCCTTATTTTAGATGAAATCAAGATGGACATGATCAAGGAACTGGTTCTTTCATGGCTAAAATAAACAATGAATTAAACAGTCAAGATCAGTTCAATGATGAACAAGACGATGACGATGATTATTATTGATATTTAATCTATGTGTTAAAAGTTATAAGATTTATGCTATTTATCTTAAAAGTTATGTACATTAAATTATGTTGCAGCATTGTCAAAACATAAAATTCATTTTATTTTTGCATCATGAAATGGTAACCGTCATACTTCTCCATCTGTACATTACATTATCCAGAAATTTTTTTTTACAGTTGCTTTCTTCATAAAAATTATAAACCTCATGATATATTTACCTGAACTTAATTAAAATTTCGATGACAATTAGATTTGATCAACATTTGATGTTCAGTATATAATCGATGAGCCAAAAGTATCAGTAAAAGAAAAATTAGGCTGTCACTTTTTCCCTTGAATCTGACTAGTGATACATGGCAATTCAGTTGGAGAAATTTCGTCCTTTTCGTACGTGTAAGACATAATGATAGTATTCTTGATGAAATTGTTGAAACACATAGGGTGAAAGTTTTGTCACATTCTACCTCTTTAATAGTTTAAATCGCAATTACTAGAATGTGGAAAATAGGACTCTGAAAATCCATAAAGCACAGTATTTGCTGCAACAAAATAGAGAGAAAAAAGGTAAAAGAAGTTATTAAGAACCGAAAAACCAGCTAACTATAAACCCATCACCATTGATTATTAGTCTCATATGAATTCAGTACTCTGGATGAAAACATTATCTTGTGAATGTCTAAAGTTACATGAAAATAGTTTCATCTCAGTTAGAGCTTGTCTTAGGTAAGATTTTAAAAATGAGTTCCATTTATATAACATCAGAAGTTGATGAAGATAAGCAGTTCGGCAAAAATATATGAAGAAGTCAAACGAAAGGATATAATGTTCACAGTCATGTGACCAACGTTCCTTGTAAGTTTTAAGTTTTTACGGCACAAAACTTGTTCACGTTCATTGTAAACTCAATGAACAATCTTCAGCATAATACCGCATCATTGACCATTTATTTTATGAATAACCACAACAATATTTATGTTCAAATTCAGTACTCGTTTTGAAGTATTCAATTCCAAATAGGATATGATTGAATAGTCACTAAAGAATTGAATGCTTTTAACAAGTACCCTGTTCAATTTACACTTAACACGCTAGTTTAAAACTGGAGTTTTTTTTGTATAATTATGAATTTTTTGGTAAACGAACATCGTTAACAAACTGTCTTTGCATGTATATCATGAGACGTAAAGCAAAGCTTCTCTGGTTTTTATAGGGAGACAAATCATTGAGAAAATGAATATTTCTAACTATAACTCTATTCAAGTACATTAATCACTTACAAACGATTGTTTTGTGTGAAATAAATAGAACATATCACATGCCAT